CTAATTATGTGAAGATACAGCCCACAGAATGGGAGAAAATCTTTGCCAGCTATACGTCTGACAGAATAATATCTAGAAAATACAAAGAAAATAAGAAAACAACAAAAACAATAAAAATGGGCTAATGTTTCTCAACAAACTACCATATGACCTAGCTATACCACTGCTGAGCATATACCTAAAGACTCTATAGCCTACCTCAGAGATACTTGCACAACCATGTCCACTGCTGCTCTAGTTAGAGTAGCTGGGAAATGGACTCAGCCTTGATGTCTATCAACCAATGAATGGACAAATGAAAATGTGGTACATATTCAGAATGGAATTTAATGGAATCTTATTCATTTATAAAGAAAAATGAAATTATTAAAATTTTAAGTGAATTGATGAAACCCAGAAAATTATACTGAATGAGATAACCCAGACTCAGAAAGAAAAATGCTAAATGTTCTCATATGTGGACCCTAGCTTCAAATCTTGAGCTATGTGTGTTTAACACAGAGTACCTTTGGTGCTAAGAAACTACAAAGAGGACATTGGGGGAGGTGCCCTAAGGGAGGAGGGGAATAGGAAAACAGAGGTAAAATGAAAGTAGAAAGGGAGATGCTGGGGGTGGAAAGGGTTAAGCAAGGAGAATCGGGGGATGGGGGAGAGAAGGGGGGAGGGTAAACTGTAAGAAAGGTATATGAAAGGGCCATATGTAAACCAGCCAAATTAAAACTATTATTAAGAGGGGCTGGAGAGATGGCTCAGTGTTTAAAAGCACTGGCTACTCTTGCAGAGGACCTGGGTTCAATTCCCCATGTGGCTGCTAACAAACATCTGAAACTCCAGTTCCAGGGGATCTGACACCACCTTCTGACTCCCTGGGCACTGCATGACACGGGTGCACTTACACACATGAAGGCAATATACTTATACACATAAAATAAAAAATAATAAAAAACATTATTAAGAAAAAAAGAGATATTCTGCATGACTGTATAAAATTTAAAATAGAATACCATATGGCCCAGTTGTACCTGGGTATATATCCAAAGGACTCTGTCCTACTACAGAGATACTTGCACATACTCATTTATTGCTGCTCTTAGAAGCTATGGTTGCCAAACAAAAGTCCAGCACCAAGTGTGGGATACCTCTACATGGGCTATTGGTCAGGGATGCCTCAGAGGCCCATAGAACAATACAGGCTCTTGCAGTCCTCCTGGTTGCCCACCAGAACTAGATGATAAGACACTATTGCTGAAGACACCACACACCTGGGTTGTAGATACAGAGGAAACAATCTGGAACTGAGCTGGAAACTTGATCCCTTCTAGTTAGTTTCCCTAGTGCTGGAAGGTGCTACTCAGGCTGCTATGGAGGAAGGGTCTTACCCAGCTGAGACCCCTATGAACCTGATAATTACCTGACAGGCAATATGTACTCACTTGTGCAATAGTAGTATTTCTGTATGTGTGTGGGGTAATCAACTGCTCTCCAATTAGATTTGAGGCCTGCTCCACAGGAGGAAACCCATGCATGGTACTGTAAACCGAGTCAAAAGTATGACACACACCTTTAATTCCAGCACTCAGGAGGCAGAGGCAGGAGGATCGCTGTGAGATCAAGGCCAGCTTAGGATGGTCTATGTAGTGAGTTCCAGGCCAGTTGGGGCTACGTAGTGAGACCATGTCTCAACACACATACACACACACACACACACACACACACACACACACACACACAAACACACACGCACACACACAAAGTATATGGCCAGCATAGACCCTAGTGGGAAACTTACTACCGCTGTTAAGTTAAACTGATGTAGTGTCAAACTGCCTTCTAGATGTCTATGTTTACACTCATAGACAAATGATACTCTCAGGCTTAATGAGCTTTAATATTCTTTTCAGTGAATGGTGGCAAATGTGGAAACTCAGCTCAAGATACTAATAAGTGACAGTTGAGCACTCAGCCCTAAATAAGATGTATTTAATCACCTCTTCTAAGGCTCAGGGAATGAGAGGGTAGAAAGAATGTACAGGCCAGGAAACAGGGAGAAGGGCTACAGAATGCCATCAACACAGTCATTAAAATTCATCTTACAGTAGCTGCAGTTGCCTACAGTGGACCTACACAAGAATCGGCCTGTCAATAGCCAGACATGGGTAGGGGAGGGACTCCTGGGGTCCTATCCTACCCTGCTGCACTACTGAATGCTGAAGGATACTTGGACAGTGGAAGTCATTGCCTTCAGTGCTGTACCAACTGGTCAGCCCACCAAGCTCCAATAGACAGTTCCAAACCCATGGTGACACAGATGGTCTTGGCTAAACTCAGTGGGTCAGAAAACAAAACAAAAAGACATGAATGTAGGAAAGGGATTTGTAGAGAGGAGGGAGAATTGACAGGAGTGGAAGATGAGAGTAATTAGTATGCATTTTATAACGTATAAAAATGTCAAAGAACAAATTTAATTAAAAGAAAAATAGAAAAAACTTAATGGGCTATTGAACTGTATAGAAAGTTCTGAAAAGAACTACTGCCAATGGTGAATAAGTATGGTTAGAAGTGATAAGCATCTTTAGACAGTAGGGAAATTCAAATTAAAACTACTTTAAGATTCTATTTCACCCCAGTCAGAATGGCTACCATCAAGAAAACAAATAACAAATGCTGGCAGGATGTGGGAGAGGGGAATCCTTACTAATGATTGGTGGGAGTGTAAACTGGTGCAGTCACTAAGGAAATCATTGTAGATGTCACCTCAAAAATTAAAAATAGAACTACCATATGACCCAGATGTACCTGGGTACATATCCAAAGGATTCTGTCCTTCTACAGAGATACTTGCACATACTTGTTTATTACCATTCTATTTGAGATAGCAAGGAAATTCTATCAGTGTAAATGTCCATCAAACTGATGAACTGATAATGAAAATGTGGTGTATAAACACAATGGAATTTTGTTCAGTCATAAAGAAAATGAAAATTTCAGGAAAGTGGATGAAATTAAAATATATTAAGCGGAGTAACTCGGGCTCATAAAGACAAACAACCCTTTCTTATATGTAGATCTTAGCTTTTAAGGGCCAACAAGAGGGGGCAAAGAGGCTTGAAGGGAGAAGAGGGAGTTGAACACATACTATATGAAAGTGGAAGGGGGACTGGGGGGGGGTAGAAAGCATAAGTAGAGCTGGGGGAAAGGGAGATGGGGATGGAAGATGGTCAGCCAGAAATAAGTATGCATGAAGAGCCACAATTAGAAAACCTGTTACTTTGTACGCAAATTTAAATTTATTTAAAAGTTTGAACAGAAGTAGGCCATGGAGGTAGACAAATTCATTTCCAGAATCTATAAGGTTATTAAACAAAAATCTCATTGTCAGGGATTGGCTATCTCCCTATGAGATGTTGGCCAGAGGCCCTGCAGCTCCCTAAAACAATAACAGATATTGTCACTATTGTCATTTGCTCTTCAGAACTAGATTATAAAACTCTTATTGCTGAAGATACCACATGCTTTGGTTGCAAAACCTAGAGAAATCAAACTGGTTCTTCTCTGCCAGATAGCTCTCATAGTGCCAAAAGGTGGTAGAGGAGAACTGCCGTTAACAGTCTTAGCAGCTGTGGACCACCCTGTGTGCTACACTAATGACCTGCCAGGCAAGATGTGCCCACAGGTGTAACAGTGGTATGACTGTTACATAGGTAACCAATGGTTTTCTGATTATATTTCAGGGATTCTCCACTGGAGGGAATTCAAGTCTGGAACTGTAAACCTGGTCAATGCTCCTGGCTGGAGAAGTCATAGGCCTTAGTGAGGAAGCTCTGTTTCCATTTTGTTAAATTGACATGATGTACCTGTTAAATTTCCTCCTGAATACTGATATTTATGCTCACAAAATAGTGCTGCTGTCAGCTTTGGTCAGAGAAGCTTCTTTTTGAAGGGGGCTGCAGTTACTGCAGAGTCATAGCTGGCCTAACTGCTGAGTTCTCAGTCATAGGTGTGGCATCTATAGTACTCTCTGTCAGGCTCAGGAAACATCATGGAAAAGGGGGTGGAATGAATGAAGAGCTAGAGGAAGGGGTGGAATGTTGTAGAACACTGTTTTCTGGATACAGCATGGTTGTTGCACTCTTGAACTCTAGGGAGTTTGATTACCTGCACAAGACCTCCACAAGATTGAACCTGTCAACATTCTGTCATGGAAAGAAGGGACTCATGAGGCCCCACCCCTCCTTGAGCACTTACAGGCAGTTCATGGTTGCTAGAGAGGGAGAGAGATTTTCTTCGGTGATGGAGCTACTGGTAAGTCGCCTGTCACCCAGTAAAGAACCCCTCACCCATGCTCTTGCAAACAGCACTAACCAAACTCATTGATTCACACTGACATCCACATCCCCCACACCCACACTGAAAAAAAACCTTGTAAACTGAATTCAAGAACACAGTAAGAAGATTGTACACTATGACCAAGTTGGTTTCATCCAAGGATTCAAGATGGATTCAATATATGCTAATCAGTAAATGCAGACTCAGGAAAAGCAGTTGACATAGTTCAACACACCTGCATGCAAGTCCTAAAGAAACTAGGTATAAAGGAATATATCTCAACATAATAAAGTCCATGTATGTCAAACCTACAGACAAAAATTACACTAAATAGGAAAAATCTGAGCCCATTTTCTCTACTAACTAGAATGAGACATGGGTTCCACCCTCCCCACTTTTGTCCAGTATTGTGCTTGGAGTCATAAGAGCAATAAGATAATAGAAGTAAATAAGAGGAATACACGTAGGAAAGGAAGAAGTCAAGTGATCCCCATTTGCTGGTGATATGATACATAAATGATCCAACAGATTCCAGCACAAAACTCTTAGATCTGATAAGGTACTTACAGCAAAATGGCAGGGTACAAAAGCAACATACAGCAAGGGGATATTTAAAATGTTGGATATAAAATACTTTCTCTTAGACAGTAAACTTTCAATTCAACATATCTTACCTGTTGTAAGAGCCATTTTGTATTTTCTGTTGAATACTATGTCTGTGCATTGAACCAGATGAATCATCTTCAGGTGTTAAAGACAGGCCAACAAAAGCTTCATTTAGCATGTCCCCTCTGTCCAAGGGTCCCAGGAGTTCTGTTGTTTTAAAAAATGAATAAGACATGAGTCAAATACAATTTCTGCTAACTCATGAATAAAATTACAGAAAAGTGTTCACGTGCCCCAGTGGAACGTCTTCCTTTGTTGATTTGCTGTTTAGCACAGGATGGAATTCTTAGAGTTCCAGTCCCTTCTGAGTTCTATCACTGCTAAACTAGTCTCAGCCAGGGAATTCAATCGTGTAACAAGTGTTTTCAAGATCAAATTTGAAAATTCTTTTATACCTTGCCTATCCATATCAAAGGGCTGCTGTCAACCCTTTACTAATCAATTATTCTTTCCTTGCTTGCTGTTAGTCATTTACCATAGTGTTTAATATTCTGGAAAATTGTAAGAAATTATTTTATTTTCATATATTAGATATAAAATTATAAAGGAAAGAAAAATTATTTTTTTAGATTTTATATATGTATGTGACTACATGAGTTTATGTGTACCAAATGTATGTAGGTGCCAATGGAGCCCAGAAGAAGGTGTCAGAGCCCCTGGTACTAGAGATATGGGCAGTTATGAGTTCTCTGATGTGTGTACTGGGAACTGTCAGTGAGCATTATTTTTTAAAAATTTAAAGTGTTTAAAAACATTTATTTATTCCTTTATTTATAGTGTGTGTGTGTGTGTGTGTGTGTGTGTGTGTGTGTACACACACACACATGTATCCATACAGAGGTCAGAGGACTCCCTGTGGGAGTCAGTTCTCCCCATCCACCATTTGGATGGCAAGCACTTTTATCTGCTGAGCCATCTTGCCAACCCCTATTTTAAAATTTTTATAATTTGTTGTTGGTGGTGATGGGAATCAAAACCAGGGCTTTGGGCAAGCTAAGGAAGCTCTTTACCACTGAGCTATACTCACCAGCCTTCAATTGGAATTTTAAAATATACATGGAGAGGCATATTCCCATGCCATACAGATGTGATATGTAGAGAAACTTAGCAACTTTTTAAAATTGAGCTTTTAAATTTTCATACATTTCCCACTCAAATCCAGACCCCCTCCCCTATCCCCTCAATGAACCCTTTGCACTCTGCCATACATGCCGAGTCCTATTCATTCAGGTGTTTGTACCCAAATGTCCTTCAGTGTAAATGTGTCCACTGGAGTCTAGTCAGCCTGTCCAGTGGTCGGATGTAAGTCATACTCTCCCTCACCCAGCAGCAAGCAGTCTCAAATAGTTCTCAGTCTAGTGCTGGCCCACCACCTATTTCTCACCTCCCCTTTGGGCCCTTGTTTAATTGAGCCTGCTGCTGCAGGTTCACATGAGTAAGTCTCCAGGGGCCTGGAAGCCTCCACCTCCTTACGTTCATGAACCAGCCCTGGCTTTTACAATCTTTCTGCCTCCTCTTCCTCAATAGTCCCTGAGCCATGGGTGGGTGAGGGTCCACATAGGAGTCTCATCTTACACTGTACAGTCTCTTATTCTCCAAAACTTGGCCAGTTGTGGCTTTCTGTGTGTACTGTACTCTGATGTATATGGACGCCTCACTGGTGGGAGTTGAGGGGTGCATTAGCCCTCTCTCTACTCCTTACTCCACTATGTCCCATGAGCCTTGGTTGTAGAGATTCGATTGCAGATGTGTCACCTCATACTGGGCAGCTCCCAGGTATATGTTGTCTGTGCCTGACCAGATGTGCAACTCTGAAGTCACCTCCATCTGTTGCAAAAAGAAGCTTCTTCGATGAGTGCTGTACCACGTCTGTCACTTTAAGGGAGGTCTCTTCTTAGCAACTTTGACAGAGCATTATTTAACAGATTGTTTGAAACATGATGAAGTTATGGAAAAATGTATTAATTGTGAGAAACATAAACATTATGAAAAAATAAAATTCCTAGGATCATAGTATATCTGGCATGTAGGTTGTGTTTAAATTTTTTAAATTGTGGCAAGATAGCCACAAAACATTTTTTACCATCTTCTTTTTAAATGCACAGTTCAGTAGTGTTTATTACATCCTTGTGCAAAATATCTATAGAACTTTAACATCTTGTAAAACTGAAACTACACCCATTAACAATTCATTTTCTCTTCCCTCCAGCCCAATAATTACCATTTCATTTTCTGTTTATATGAACTTGATAAATTTAGATATTGTGCATCCGTTTTTACAGTTCTGTGACTAGCTTACTTCATGAAATAAAACTGGCCCCCAGGTTTGGCTACTTAGTATTATGTGCAAGGATTTCTTCCTTTTAAGGATGAATAATATTCCGTTCATTGGGTCATCTGTCCATGGTCATTGGATTGCTCCATCTCCTAGAATTGTAAGGCAAAGCTCCAGGCCTGGGAGTGCTAATATGCCAATTAAACAGAAAGGAAATTTAATCAGTGGGGCATATTGGAAAGACAAACAGGGATCCAATAACTACAAGTTTATCTTCAGAGCATGGGCACGAGCTTCAGCTTTAAACAGAACTGGGGCAGGGGCAAGAGATACCGTAATTAAGCAGTTTGGGTCAAGATGTGGTCTGGTTGATCACTGTCTCAATCCTGATGTTACAGGGTGGTATGAAGAAACCCTTATTTCTTGAGGGATAAGCTGGTTCTCATGAATGACTAGTGCTCTGGTGCAGCCTCACCATTAAAGGTAATTGCTCTCATGGAGGAAGTCTGTCCTGCAAGGCTTTGCTGTTCTAAAATACAAGGTGACTTGACTGCAGATTTAGGATAATGACTGGAGATCTTTAGGTGGCCTTTTGAGGGTCTGGAACAGGACACTGTAAAAAGCTGACCAAAAGACGCTCCAGTCACCAATATTGTTCCACTATCCTCGAAGGGGAATGAGATGAGTCTCACCCGTTCCTAGACTGGCACTCCTTGAGTGATTTCCACACCTACATGAAGATGTAATCAGCTAACTGAAGGAGATGGGTATAAAATAGAGGCAGATGCTAGACTTCATTTTGCCTTTGTGGGCCGAAGAGATGAGTGAATGCTCTTTACCAAGTGCAGTTTCTGAGTGTCTGCTATAGGAATTGTGAACAGTGCTGCTATAAAACTGGTACAGACATTTCTTACGATCCTGCTTTCAGTCCTTTTAGATGTCTACCCAGTAGTGGGGCTGACCGCTGTGGAGTTCCTTTTGTTGTTGTTAGAACAACTCAGCAAAATAAAATTTCAGTTTATTGTTGGACAACCTTGTTTCACACATACATCAGACTGAATAACAAACAACAAACAGCAATTTCACAGACTGAAAAGATATAGAAGAGGGCTTTCCCTTTCCCTTTTTAGCTATCTCACGCAAACCACTTACAGTAGAGATAAATGCATACCCAAGAGTGGCTGGAACGCATGGGAGAAGATCTGTTTTGCCTTAAGTTTTAATGTTCCCCTCCCTCTACAAGATCATAATGAACATGGCCACGAAAAAAAGTAGTCGGAAGTCAGAAGCCGTACAAAGCACACTGAGTCCATTAAAAATGGCTGACCCCTAACACTATGTAGAGAAATACAAAATATAAGCAAAAAATACAAACACGCTTTCCTTTTTAAAGCATTTATAAACAAGGCAGAGCCTCTCTCCTGTGGGTGCAGTGCGCCTCTCTGGGCCACAGTGTTTAGGGTTGAGAAAGGCGAGGGGAGTGTGAAGAGGTCACAACAGCCTTTTTTTCAAATCTCAGCTTCTCCTTTGGTGCTGTTTAGTCATTGTCATCCATCTTCTGCTCCTGGTGTCAACATCACTATCATCTTCAGCAGCTCATCTGCCCACAGCTGTCTCAGCCTCCTCCTCCTCTCAATCTCCTTCATCCGATCACCTACTTCATCTACCATCATCACCTTCCTGATTCTCAATTCCTCATTAGCACTGTCATTCATTCTCTGCCCCTCCACAGCTTCCTTCTTTCCCTTTCTGTCCTTGGTTGTCATCGCTCAGCTGGTGTCCACAGCAGTATCTGAAATGCCTGTGAATACCAGTGATCCCTTGCAGCAGGAAAGTAAGCAAGCGTTGGCAGACACTGGCGAGAAAACTGTCCCAGACTCAGTAGCGACCCTGGCGGGGAAGGCCCACAGTTGCTGTGTTGAGCTGGAAGCCAAGACCGGAACAACGCAGTGGGGTGGATGGTACCACCCCAGGGCAGGCCCTAGAAGAAAGCAGGCGGAGCACAGGCCAGAGGAGCAAGTCAGTCAGCAGTGTTCCAGCCTCCATGCTCCTGCTCTGAGTTCCTGCCTGACTTCCCTCAATGATGGACTATCACTGGGAAGTATAGGATGAAATAAACCCTTTCCTCCCCAAGCTGGTTTTGGTCAGTGTTTTATCATAGCAGTAGAAAATAATTAGAAACACTGTGGCTTTGAGTTGCAGTTCTCTAATCATTAATGGTGTGAATCTTTTCACATTCTTACTGGTTATCTGTATATCTTCTCTAGAGAAATGCCAGTCTTTTGCCCGTTTTTAAAAATTTTATTTTTCAATTAGCAATCAAAGTACGAGATTTCATTATGGGCTTTTCATACACACTTTGCTCCCTCTTCCTCTCCGCCATCCCACTTCCTGCTGGCCCCTCTCTCACCAGCTACTGGTTTCATCCCACATTTATTACCCTCTTTTATCATCTCCCCTTCCTTTAAGGACTCTTTTTCCCCACTCTTGGTCCCCTTACTATTTTCATGACCCATACCCCACAAATATATACATAGATACAAAAATTAAACAGGATTAACACATGAGAAAAAACATGCTACCACATGTCTTTCTGAGTCTGGGTTACTTTGCTTAATATAATAATTTCCAGTTCCACCTATTTTCCTGCAAATGTCATGATTTCACTTTATGGTTGCATAAAATTCCTTTGTGTGTGTGTACACCTTCCTCATCTATTCACATGCTGATGGGTCTAGGCCGATTTCACTTCCTAGCTATTGGGAATAGTGAAGAATTAAGGTAGATGTGGAAGTAGGATGTGGCAGGACTTAAGAAGCCTTTGGGAAAATACCCAGTAACATAATAGCTGGGGCACTTGGCATTTTGACTT